TTTATATCACTAGAGATCTTTTTGCCTGAATCTGCATATATGCTATTGCAATACTTTTTAATTATTTTCAGAAATTTATTAAACTACTGTTCAAATGCAAGATTTTAATGTTATAAGCATAATTAAAATCTAGTGTAAATACCTATAGAAATTAGTCAAATATTAATATTCTGCGAATGCATGGCAGGAGGTATAAAGAGACACAAATGCCCTCAGTTTGGTTTCTGCAAAAAGTCCCACCCTGCCCCTGTTACTGCTCAGTGAAGGAAAAGGGTTTCATTATTTCAGACACTGTTTTGCCTCCCTCACAACTAACAAAGTGCTGTTCTCGCTGCTGCTTTCAAATTAGCACAAATCCACATGTGAAAGGCTGAACTAGTCTGATGTTCTGATTCACTTGGATGCCTGGGAGATCTTCCCCAGTCACAATGCAGACACAATGTACGTGGCATTTAACAAGAAGAAACTGTAATTTCAAGACCTCTCTATGAACCTAGGCGCTGTGATCTGATCATGGGATCTTGCTGTGTCCCCTGCCTGTAGAATACAGGTCAGGGGCATAATTTGTGTTTCTCCACTCCACAAATATGTGTTTGATCACAGTTTCAAACCAATGTCAAACTTCTGCAAAATAGCTCTGGATATAGCCCAAACAAAAGATTTCTGTTTTTTTTCCTTCTGACCCAGTTCCTACAGGTCACCAGTACTCTGAAGACAATGCAAAATTCCAGAAGCAAATTCACCTATTTCTTGGATGGGAAGGAGGACTAATAAGAAGTTTAAGTGTGGCGGCAGACGTACATACGCATATGTGATTTCTTAATCTAAGTTCATTTAATTAAAGTTGGGTTTCTGAATGCACATTGAACTTTCTACAGCCTTTTACTGTCTGTGATCAATATACAACAGGAAATCTTGATACCACATACCAGAGAAAGCTCAGTGGTTTTCATAGAAAACATTGTCCTCAAAAAGCTCAGAAGTTCTATCTACAGATTGCATCACAAGCTGGAATTTTCAGCAGCAGATGCTGGGCTAAAGTTGATTTTTCATTTGCTAGATTGAAAAATGAAGACTCACACTCTGTCATGGTTTTTCAGGTTTTAACCTGTCTATCATCTACTTCATTTGGGCTCATCAAGTATGGATGTCAGTTAACATGTGAAATCTGAAATGTGAATCTTGTAGAAAATGTCAAACTCGTCTCTCTGAAATTGACCTGAATGCTTCGTTATTGCCAAAGATGTAAAAAGGATTAAAGAAATTTTCTTATTAATATCTTCCTATGTTTTTCTCAAATCCCCCCAAAATACAGCCTTCAATAATTTAGACAATAAGCCATAAATAAGCCACAAATAAACACACACTACCTCCTAGGGTCAGGAAACATAGACATGAATCGTTACCCTGTAGTTTTCATAATGGTCCTCAGAAAATTCTTTTTTATTATACTCAGGCTTCTCATCTTATAATGCATGTCTCTCACAATTACTCTGTTCAAACTTTCTTCACCATAAACATTACTTAATGTTTATCTCTTAAATATTTGATGAGGGTATTTCATAGCTACATGTCAAGTTCCCTGTTCACTAGTGTTTTCATAAAAATTGTATTTCGGAGAAGAATGTTAATTCAGAACCTGCCTGTTCTGGCAAGAGATCACATCCAAAGACCTTTTAGGCCTGTGTGATCCAGCTGGAATAAAACACACCTTTAATCCAGGAGACAGAGGCAAGCAGAACTGAGTTCAAGGCCAGCCTGGTATAGAGCAGGTTTCAGGTAAAGAAAAGCTTAGATCCGGGTGTGATGATACAAGCTTTTAATTCCAAACAATGAAGGTAGAGTTGTTTGTAGAAGGAAGCACCTATGTTTGAAAATGATGTGGCAGAAACAATGATGAATCAGATGAAGAGTTGGCAGAATAGGATATGCCCAACTCTCATGAGAAGTGAAAGGAAAAGGAAGCTACTTAAGAGACAATACAGAGAGAGAGAAAGAGAGAGAGAGAGAGAGAGAGAGAGAGAGAGAGAGAGAGAGGAGGCAGTTTTACCAGGACAGTAGCAGAGAGAGGACTCAGGTGAAGACCAAATGAGGCAGAGAATGAGGAGCCAGGAGATTAGAGCAGATTGCTAGAGTTAGTTTGAGGCCAAGCAGAACAATTCAGAGGCCAAGAAAAAAAGCCAGATTGAATAAATCAGCTAGGAGCGGTATTTGAGCTAGGACAGTTGAGTTGAACCAGGTTATCCCAGAGAACAAGTAAGGAAAAGTAAGGGTGAGCATATTCAGCAGTAAATCCCATAGGCAGAAAACACTCTAGGCCTTGGTTTGATTGTACCGAGGTTAGAAGCTTCTAGTACTAGGGCTAGGTTAGCAGAAGGAGGCAGTAAGCCTCCCAGACAACATTTAAAACAGGTGAATAAAAACTGTTTTTACAAAATTATGCAAAAATTATCAGATTGATTAATTTAGTAATTGATTGTTTCAATTTAAGAAGTAGTCACCTAAATAAATTTTCAGTTTTGAAACATATTATCATGACCCTTTAAAATCTTGTAATGGCTAAGAAATGATTTTGTTATTACCATATTTCAAATTCCATAATCTAAATTATCTTGACTTTTAAATAACTTTAATTGTGTTTGGCAATACTGCTATGCTTATTCTATTCAGTTATTTGCTAGTAATTTTTATTTTCTCCAGTGGAGTGTCACAGGGTATAGTAACTTCATTGCAAAGCAGGTCCCATGTCTAGACATAGTTGGCCAACACAAAACAGAATCTATTTTATTGTCTTGTATTGTACATAGTATTTTTTTCTTTTTGGACTTTTTATTTGTTCCTTTGATATTTTGTTAAGAGGAAAAACATGAAGTTGGTGTATAGGGAGCTGGACATGATTTGGAAAGAGTTGGGGAAGGAGATAGAATATGATCAAATGTATTTTATAAAACGTTAAGTAAATAAATACATAAAAATGACTTAGACTTATCCTAGAGAATATACATACTTTCATATATATACTGAATGAGGTAACTCAGACCCAGACAAACAAATAATGCTTTCTCTGTCATATGTAGTTCATAGCTTTAAATTTTAAGATTTCTGTATTTGCTGGGTGTGGTAGCACATGCCTTTAATCCCAGCACTTGGGAGGCAGAGGAAGAGGCCAGCCCATTGTATAAAGTGATTTCCAAGACAGACAGGGCTACAAAAAGAAAACGTGTCTAAAAACAACAACAACAACAAACGATTTCTGTGTTTACATTGAAATTGGTGTCTACAGAGGCCAGGGATCAATATAAGGGCCATGAAGAATGGGATATTAAAACTGAGCTCAGGGACTACTCGAGCTAGAAAGATTTAGAGCAGTGTCTCTCAAATGGTCATGACCATTTGGGGATTGAATGGCTCTTTCACAGGAGCCTCGTCTCAAACACGGTGAATATCAAATATTTAAATCATATTTAAATAGTTCAAAACAGTAACAAAATTATAGTCACAAAGTAGCAACAAAATAATTTTGTGGTTAGGTCTCACCACCACATGACATATGTATTAAAGGGTCACAGCATTAGGAAGGTTTAGATTTAGATAGAAATTAGGGAAGACGGTGGAGAGATGAAGATGCAGGGTAGGGACAATAAACCAGGATATTGGGAAAATCATATTAAAACACTACTCAATAACAAGCTAACAACAATATTTGTCTTTTGGAGTCCGGGATACTTCAGTCAGGATAATTATTTCTATCTCCATCCATTTACTTGACATTATGAACACTAGCCAAGAGGGTGAAGGTGTCTGGCTTATTTTCAGTTTAATCATCTGCTGCATCCCATGAGTGTGATTGTCACATATTTTTAAAATTTTTTAATTGCTTCTTTGTGAATTTCACACCACACACTCTAAATCCCACTCATGTCCTCATCCCTTTGTACCAATCCTCTGCCCTTGCCACCTCCCCACGAAGGAAAAAAAAAATCTTATAGTGGAAGCTCCAGATGTATCACACTATGTCACACAGTATACCCTTTTGTCCACACTTCTTTGCTTGCAAATGTCAATGGCAAAGTCAGTGGTCTAGGTGGAGGCTTTTGGATTCCGCTACACTATCAATACTGGATCCTCATTGGGACTCCTCTCAGATATCCTGTTGTTACCCTCTGTCATGCAGATCCTGCAGCTTTGGTTCTGCAGGACCAGCCCCTTCACACATTCCAGCAGATCATAGATGGGGTAGGTGTTGGGGTGGGCTAACTCGAAGCACTGGATCTGGGCCTGGGTGGTAGCTGAGCTGGTCATCCCACTCTCTTTTGCACCCACACCTGCAGAACTTGGTCCTCTTGTGGAGCTTCTGTCCTCCCTGGGTCCTTCTGTCTCTCTACTCTTCCATAAGATTCTCTACACTCTGCCCAAAGTTTGGGTGTGAGTCTCAGCATCTACTTTGATCTCCTGCTTGGTGGAGTTTTTCAGAGGACAGCTATGGAAAGCTATATAAGGACATCTATGGAACCACTTCCGCTGTCTATTCTACTTGACAATTCTAAATGACAATTAAGCATCTTCCCTAGGGTCTTCTTTGTTACTCAGCTCCTTTAGGTCTGTGGACTGTAGTATGGTTATCCTGTATTGTATGGCTAATGACTGCTTATAAGTGAGTATATAGCATGCATGTCTTTCTGGATCTGGGTTACCTCACGCAGGATGATCTTATCCATTTACCTGAAAATTTCAAGATGAATGGAATAAAACAACAGCCTACAGACTAGGATAAAATCTTCACCAACCCTACACCTGACAGAGGGCTGGGTTTATAATAAAAGTTACAAAGTCCTCTTTATCAGATTGTCCCATTGTTTAAATCACAAGTATTTACAAATATTTATTTACAAATATTTACTTAAATATTTAAAATATATGAATTTATATATGTGAGACCTTCTTCACTCCTGAGTTTCCTTAAGGATAAGTGAAATGATTATTGGGATGGCATGTGGACCCTAAACTTCTATGCTTTTAAACCTGTACCTGAACCACAACATGACTGAAAGAGAAGCACACCTCAACCTACTGTTTCCCAAAATCAAGACAAAAGGGTGAGCAGAAAGAACAGCATTTCCCAGAGACCTGACAAGCAAAAGGATCAGGTATCTCTCCGGTGACACAGAACTCCAAACTTTCAGGAAAAATGATAGAAAAAAAAGAGTGTATAATAGTACAGAAGCAATGATAGTTTGCAAGGCTCTGGTGTGTGCTGTGTTGCTGACGTCTCTGCATCCTTTGACATTGTGCTGTACGTTCTTCAGATGTCTTCGCAGAGAGAAGATGAGCAGGAACAAAGTTGCCAGGGCCATAACAAATGGTATGAGTGTGAACATAGGGTTGGTAAATGAAAGAAGTTTGCAAATCTGTGCATGGTTACACAGTCCGAAAATCTGAGATGCATTTCTTTGAACATCATCAACACACATGTGAGAGTAGATTTTTATAATGATAGTATTTAAGACCAAGAAAAATAAAGACGTTAACAATGTCAACAAGACTACGTTTTTAACTCTAAACTTGAGGTAAAGAAAAAATAATGTTAGAAAAGTTGGCAATCCTGAGAAAATAAAAGATGCTCAGGCTTGCAGTAAGCCAAAGGTTACAATGATTGATCACTGTCCGGGAGAGAAAATACATTTTCAACATTTTTTTAGTCCTGTGCAATGCTGGGTCAAACACAGATATCCGCCAATCTAGGAATACCAACCAAATTAGAGTGATTCTGGAAATTGCCAGAGCAGTGAGGATTTGATCCACTGGAGAGATTTTTCTTCCTTGGACCCCGTCTATGCAGGTCATCAGAGCAATGAATCCATTTCCTAGGATTCCCATTATGAATTCCACACTGAAAATTACTGCAAACATGATCTCTAGAGCAGCAGCCATTGTCTGTAAAACAGTGCCCAAAGTTCTGAGATTACTGCTGAAAATATGTTAATATATTCCTCTAAAATACAATGCTTCTTCAAAGTATGTAATGAACCCTGTTAAAAACTTGCAGAGGAAAAAAAAAAAACTTGCAGAGGTGTTATCACACAAGCAGGCATTAAGATTTCTTTATGAGTCATATGATTCCTAATGAAAGTCTTAGACTGAGAGGCTATAAAGAAACTTCATCCAAACACTAACTAGGTTGAATGATTCTAGAATATTCTCTGGTTAATGCTGAAGGAAACACCTGTGTTTTTGTATGTCAACATACAAAAAATTATTTGCATTTTTTTCTTTTTGATTTTCATAATGTTTTACTTTCTGGATAACTGACTATCAGACAAAGTAATGTTCAAATTAATATAAAAATCATTAAAAACCTGCACTAGTGTATGGAAATTCTTAAACACTCTTCAAACTAGGGCTGCACAAAGATATATGTGCATATTATTAAAATATTAATGTATGAACTGCTACCTAATAATCTGTCTAAATCCAAGACTTAAGTGCTTAATACTGAGAAAAATACTTATTGATCACTTTACTTCATATAAAGGCATGCATGCCCATACAAACACATAAGTACACATTAATTGATGCAAAATTCACCTTTCTCTAGTATTAAAAATTCAGCTTGTTATTTTAGTCAGTACTATACATGTGGCTCAGGTTTAGTGTTTTGATATTAAATATTGTTTAGAGAGTACCCTCAGGTAAACATTAAAGTAGTAAATGCACATATTCAGCAACACTGTATGGTATGTTCTCTCCGCGTGAAAATAGGTAGAAGACTCTTTGTCTCCCTTTGAAGTAGTCAGTGTTGTAAATCAATTAATCTTCAACACATCTGTTTCAGTCTCTGGTTCTCTCTTTCCAAGTAAGACAAAAATCTCGTATTAGTATGAATGACTTGCAGATTTAATTTATAACCTCTCACCCCAACATCTCTTTTGTGATCATCATTACAAGAGGCCACATAGGCAGGAAAATTTGCTGCTAGGCAACACTGACAGTGAGCATGATCACAGTATATTCTTTTCCCCAATAGGCAAAACGTGAACAAAAAAAGAAAGTAAGAAAAGAGAGAGAGAAAAACAAGCAAACAAACTCAGCAACACCTGAAACATCAGGAAAAATGTATTGGAAATATCAAAAGTGGCTGAGAGAGACATAGGGAGGCCCTCATGGAGTGGAGCCAGAGGCTTTATATACCTAGCATCCTGCAGCAATATTGAGCAAAGTAAATGAATGGAATATATTTTCTTAAAATTCCCACAAATGCTTACACCTAGGTTTCAATTGAAGGAAATCTTTCAAGAATACTAGAAAACAAAATAGAAATGCAAACTTACCAAGAGGAAGGGAGTTCTGTATGCTGTGGCTCCTGTCAGATAATCAGGAGGAGCTCAAAATGCCAACACGACATGCAAACTCTCCTGCGGTAGGGCTGTGTGGAAAGATGAGGCATCGGGAGTTTCACAGATTCTTGGAACCATTCAGGGCAGGAGTCCCTACCAATAGCTGCACTCAGCAGAGGAGCCCACACAGCTCCTGTCATTCTGTCTCCCAAACACTTCGGGCTCTACTTTAATAGCAGCTTCTAGGCAAAGAATCCTCTGTGTAAGCTGAGAATAGCAGTGGAGGTAACTACCAAAAATTACATCTAGAAAACCAAATAACAAAGCAAATGCTGAGACAGGGATTCAACGCATTGCACTGAATTCGGAGTCAATGGCAATGGAGTTGTTTGTGGTTTCCATGGGCCCCTTTTATCCAAAACTTCAATTAGATATAAGCTATTGCTCATTTGGTGGCAAGAGATCTTCAGTAAGGGCTTGGTCTCCCTTGGAGACACAAGCTAGGTTTCTTTCTTATATTTGTGTATATATAAAGATACAAATATTTATTTATTCACACACATATATTATGTGTATGTACATATAAATATATATTTAAAGTTGTTTACTGTAATAGGTTTCCATAATATCCCTCAAACGACCCTTAGTTTTAGTTGTCTCTTCCTGCATTCCCTCCTTTGTCCTCCTCTCTCCTGCCTTTCCCCACTTAATCTTCTCATTCCACCCACCCCAAACCCATGTCTCTCTGTAGCAATTTCCTATTTTTCCCTCAGGAAATCCTTCCCTCCCATCCCCCAGCTCTTACTCTAAACCTAACCTTTGTGGTTATACAGATGGTGACAGACCTATTGAAGGCTTAAGAGTTAGCATCCACACATAAGAGAATGTATGGCATATTTGTCTTTTGGATTCTAGGTTACCCCACTTAGGATGATCTATTTATTTATTTATTTATTTATCTATTTATTATTATTATTATTATTATTATTATTATTATTAACAACTATTTATTCACTTTGTATCCCAAGTATAGCCCCCTGTCTCATTTCCTCTCAGTCCCTCCCATTTACTCGAATTCAGTCCACTGGTAGGGGAAGTCCTCCTCTCCTACTGTCTGACCCCAGCCTATTAGGTCCCATTTGGACTGCCTGGATCCTCTTCCTCTGTGGGCTCTCTAGGTCATCCCACCAGGGAGAAGTGATCAAGGAGCAGACAACCGAGTTCATGTCAGAGACTGTCTCTTCTCCCCTTACTAGGGAACTGCAGAGACTGATGCATCAACCAAAGACTATGTATAAAGAGGCCCTAGACGCCGGCACAGATATAGTCAATAGACAGCTCAGTCTCCATGTGGGATAATATTTAATAACATGATCCATTTAACTGTAAATTTCATGGCTTTATTTTTCTTAACTATTGAGAAAGTGACATTTTGCTGTGTAAATGTACCACACTTTTATTATCCATTCATCTTTTGACAGGTTTCTAGGTTATTTCCAATTTCTGCCTACTATGACTAGAGTAGCAGTGAACAGGAATGAGCAAGCTTCTTTGCAGTAGAGTACAGAATCTTAATGGGTATATACCCAAGAACTACATAGCTGGATCTTGAAGTTGTTCTATTCTCATCTTCTTGAGAATAGAACAGTCACAGTGAATTTTATGGTGTCTGTGCAAGTTTGCTTTTCCACCAGAAATGGATAAAAAGGTCTTCTTATATGACATTCATGCCAGCATGAGCTGTCATTTGTTTTATCTTGGCTATTCTGCCTGGTATAAGATGGAATCTCAAAGTGGCTTTGGTTTACATTTCCTTAATGACTAAGGATGTTGAATATTTTCTTAAATGTTTCCTCATACATTTGTGTTTAATTTCTTGAGAAATCTGTTTAGATGTTTATAATCCATATTTTAACTTAGTCATTTGTCTTATGTTCAATTTTTTGAGTTTTTAAAAATATACTTTAGATATTAGCTTTCTATAAAACGTGTAGTTGACAGAATCTTTCCATTCTGTAGTTGGCGTCTTTCTACAGATGATAGTGCTCTTTACCACACAGAATCTTTTCAGTGTCATGAAGTCCCATTTATTAATTGTTGAAGTTAGCGCCTGTGCTATTTTTCTTTTCAGAAAGTCATTTTCTGTGCCAATGAGGTCAAGACTATCCCATATATCTATATATGGGATAGAAAAAAAAATATACCTAATACCTAAAAATATATACCTAATAGAAAAAAAAATATATATATATACATTTTTTTTCTATTAGGTTCAGTGTATCTTGTTTTATGTTGAGGCTTTTGACCCAATGGAGATGGGTTTTGTGCAGGGTAACAAATACGGATCTATTTATATTCTTCTACATGCTGCCGTCTGGATTGACCAGCACCTTTTTTGTTGAAAATGCTCTCTTTTTTTTTTCTTTCCATGTGTATTTCTGTCTTCTTTACCAAAGATCAAACATTTATAGGTGTGTGGGCTTATGTATGGGTCTTCAGTTTGATGTCATTGATCAACCTGTCTGTTTTTATGCCAAATATTATAATGTTTTTTATTACTATTACTCTGAAGCACAATTTGCAATCTCTATTGTGATGTCTCCAGATGTTTTTATTTTTATTATTATCCAGATTTTTAAAAACTATCTGGGTTTTTGTGTTTCAATATATCTGAAAATTTTACTTTGAATTTCTGTGAAGAATTGGGTGGAATTTGGTGGGGATTAAGAGGAATCTGTGGACTGCTTTTGGTAGGATGGCCTTTTTCACTATTTTCATTCTACCAATCCATGAGCCTGTGCCTTTTGATATCATCTTCAATGTCTAAAGTTGATTAGTGTACCCTAAGATATTTTATTTTTAAGGCTGTTTTTAAAAATACTGTTTAATCTGATTTTTTTTCTCAGTCTGTTTGCATATGGGAAGACTGCTGATTTTTCTTGTTAATTTTATATCATGCTACTTTTCTGAAAGTGTTATCAATGGTAGGAATTTCCTCTTTTTTTGCTTTCCTACTTGTATTCCTTTTACCACTTTCGGTTGTCTTTTTGCTCTAGCAAAGACTTCAAGTACTATATTGAACAAGTATAAAAGAGTAGACTTTCTGTCCTTGCTGTATTCCTGATTTTAGTGGAAAAGCTTGTAGTTTCTCTCATTTACATTGATGTTGGTTATGGACTTGTAAATCTCCTTTGTTATGTTGATGTATGTTCCTTGTATCCCTAGTCTCTCCAGGACGTTTATTATGAAAAGATGTTTTTATTTGTCAAAGGTTTATTTTTATTTTTATTTTTTGGCATCTTATGAGAAGATAATGTGGGTTTTGTTTTTTGGTCTGTTTATGAGGTGGATTGTACTTATCAATTTCTGTATGCTTAACCATCTCTATATATTTTGGGTGAAGCCTACTTGATGATAGTGGATGATATTTTTGATGTGTTCCTAGAAACAGTTTGAAACTATTTTATTAAGAATTATTGAATCTATGTTCATAAGGAAAATTGGTCTGTCTTTAATTTGCTTCACAGATTACCAGTTGCTCTTGGTGATTATGTTATGATGTTAGGCTATTCTTATTTCTATATTTTTCAAAAGATT